ACCGCTGTGACAGCGTGGAAGAAGATTACATCGACATGGAAGTGAGTTCGCTGTCGAGTCTCATTACAGCAACTGCACAGAACAACAGCAACCAAAGAGAGTTCGAGTTCCAAATGTCTCTGTGCTCCCTCGAGAGAGACTCGACCACTTCTCCGGCCGATGAGCTCTTCTACAAAGGCAAACTCCTTCCTCTCCACCTCCCTCCACGCCTCCAGATGGTCGAGAAGCTTCTGGAAACCGCTAAAGATTTCTCCTTTGACGAATTTTACGGCACCCCTTTGGCCACTTGTACTGTCCCGTCCCCGACAACGAGCAATACTCCGTTCGAGTCCTGCAATGTTTCGCCCGTGGAGTCTTGCCAGGTGAGCAGAGAGCTGAACCCATCAGAGTATTTCTCGGAGGTTTTCTCCGATTTCAGTGAATCCGCGGTGGACAATACGACGAAGAAGTCGTGGAGCAGGAAGCTGAAGCTGATCAAACAGTCTTCTCTCGGGTCGAAGCTTAAGGCTTCCAAAGCATATCTAAGGGCTTTGTTCGGTAAATCAGGTTGCTCGGATGAATCTTGCACTTACGCTGCGAGGGTTGCGGATGAAGGGTCGGCTTCAAAGGCAGATTATAGGCAGCGGTTGAACAATAAGTACGCGAAGATGGAATCTTCTCGGATCCCTTTCGGACAAATCCAGAAAGAGAATCGAAAAACGCAGAACAGCGTATCTGGAAGCCATAGGAGATCCTTCTCTGTCTCGATGAGGAGGCAACTGCCATTGAAGAGCTCGTTTAAGACAACCCCGAGCTCCAACGACTCATCCGGGTTTCACCCCCTGCAGTTCTTGAAGAGAAGTACGAGTATAAATTCAGACGTTGAGAATTCCATTCAGGGAGCTATCTTGCACTGCAAGCAATCTCTGCAGCAGAAGAGCGATGTAGGGTTTTGCTCCATGTCGGCGACAAGGGTCGTTGCCGCCACCGATGATCAAGAACGGGCACAGATCTTTCGGGGCTAAGAGACAAGACACCCATAAACACAGAGAAGCTTGTAGGAGAGAAGGCAAAGAAAAAGGAGAAACGAAACCCTAAAAATCCAGTTCTCTGTCGTTATGCTTCTCTTTTTCCATCTCCTGAGATTCTGTAATTTGATTTGTGTCCATAAATGGATGCTTATGCATCTCAGATTTCACTCAGACAGTCGCGTTTTGGGGATCCAACTCAAGAAATAATGATCATAAGTATATCTTCGGGCCCTGAATCATTGATCGATCTAATATGCGTGTCTGTTCTTGTTTTTCTTACCAAACATATTATTGGATTCCGATACATTAATTTCTGACGAATTTGATCATGTTTCCAGACTTTTACGTGAAGCGTAAATTAATTTTCACACGGTTTAATTGCGATTACCGATTGATTGACAATTTTTTAAAAGAAAAAAAAAGTTTTTTTTTTCTGCTTGAAGTGTATAACTTTGTTTTTTTTGGATTGATTAAAACTGCTGATTTAAATTTTTATTAATATTCAAATAAATATTTACTGATTTTGAATAACTTAAAAAAATAAAACGTTTACATTTCTAACAATCGCAGTTAACAAAAAGGATTAGAATTTTTTTATACTGCGTAATTTAGTTTTCATACAGTTTAATTGCGATTACTGGTGATTGAGCAATTTTTTAAAAGAAAAAAAAGGATATTTTCTGTTTGAACTGTATAACTTTTTTAGATTACCTTAATTAAAACTGTTGATTTCTTTTTTATTATTAATATACAAATAAATATTTATTGATTTTGAATTACTTTTGGAAAAAAAATTGCATTTCTAACTTTTAGAAGATCGTTTATGTACGTGAAAACTTTGTAATTTTGTACATAACACATAGTAAAGGATGGAAAATAGAAAGTACGGGTCCGTTTCTAGAAGAAAAAAAATAGTTCATGGTCGGTAAAAAAAAAGTTACCAAGGACGAGAACTGTAATAATTTTAAAAGATTAAAAAAATGTAAAATAAAAAATTGAGGTAATCGGGAAACAGGGTTCCATGCTTTCTGAAAGAAGATAGTAACTTTATTTGCATATTCCAACTTTAAAATAAAATTAACGTCATTTTCCATCTCTCTTTTTTAGTCAAAAAAATATTTATCCAATATATAATTATTCTTTTTTTTCCCACTTAGAAAAAATCATTCTTAGCATTTTGACTTACAATACAAACATTGAAAGTAAGTATAGTCGAGAAATAGATTCCATGAAAGAAAGTCTGATTAGTTTATTTTTATTATAATAATATATACATCAAGAACAATATAAGTGTTAGCGATTGAAATTTTAGGAGCTGATTCTTGTTTTGATTACTTTTATTTTTAATAAACAAATTAAGAGTTGAATGTATGGAGTTTTCAGAATTTTTAAAATTTAAAAACAAAAAATTGACAATCACGATTTTATATATTTAGTTTTTTTTTAAATCGAAAATTATTTTAGTGAAAAAATCAATTAAAGAAACTTATTTTTTGGATTTAAAAATATTATAAAGACAAAAAAATCTAAATCTAAAAATCAAAATAAAAAAATCAAAAACTAAAGCTAAAAACTCAAAATAAAAATTATTATAATTAGTTATAACCTAAATATCCTAAAAATGTTTGGGTTTTATGTTGGTTATGGTTTGAATTTGGTTTTCAGTTTTTATTTAAAAATATGTTTATTTCACATATATATAATTTTATTTTCAGTTTAGATTTTTAAATTATATTTTTATATTCGATTCTAAACTTTTTAATTTAATTTATAAAATTATATGATTTTTAAATCAGATTCAATTTGAATACGGTTAGATGAGTTATCCTATTCGATTTTATTTATGGGAGTATTTTAAAAATAATCAAATTTTGTAAATAAAAAAAAATTGGAAATCTCACTTGTCTGTCTCTTACAGCAACTAAGGGACACGCACAAGTATTAAATAAAAAGAATACAATGTGGAGAACAAGTTACGATACTAATAATATATAATATATTAATAAACCGACACCCATTAATTTAACGAAAAAGATATTAAAAAAAAGAAAAAAGAAAAACAAGAGAAGCCGAATATAAGGGCTTCCCTTTGATTAAAATAGGATTAACACTGTCCTCATCTTTTCGAAAAGTTTTGGACTCAATGGAGGAAAAAACAATGGTGCAATTCATCTAAATCATACCAAATCAAAAAATATGTTGTTTTATTATTCGAACTATCCAAAATTTTTGAACGGTATTATTTTAAAAAACCGAAATTTTTAGAATTGAATCAAATCGAATTGAATAGAAATTTGAAAAAAAAAATCTGAAAAATTGATTTTTTTAAAAGAACTATTTTTTTAAATAAACATTGGAACCAAATCGAAAAGAACTCAATATAATACAATAACCGATTGATACCTACTTTTATAAAACCAAAAGAATCGAACCGAACTATTTCCGATCCAAATCTGAACCGAATACCGAAATGTCCACCCTTACTTATAATCACCCGAAAATATATGAATGCAATTAAAATTTGTTTCTAAAATAGAAAAATCGGATATTTAGGTATTTTGGATTCGGATAAATTGATATGTACTGTTTTTAGATTTGATACGAATTGGAATGTTTTTCAACATTCGTAATTATCCGTAAAATAATCGTTTTATATTTATTATAAACAATTATTTATATTTTTTAATTTTAGTTATAAGTCAATTAGTGAAATTTTGTAAAACAATATATTTATTATCAATGATAAAAAAAATAGTATATTAAAGGTTCTGAATCTGAATTTCGAATATTTGAGTATTCACTTATATATAAATATCCTCTCGGATATATGAATCTCTAAAGATATATTAATATCCCCTCGTATGCAAATTCATATATTTTAAAATTTTGTAATATTCAATATTAATTTATCATTATAAATAATTCGTATGTGATACCATATGAATACAAAACATCATTTGGCGGAACCTTCATAAAATTAATCAAACACGGCAAACGCGAATATCCACTTCAATTGATACAAGCTTGAGCAATGAAAACCATAAAGATAATTTGATATTCATAAAAAGAAGGTTTCACTTCTTTATTTTTTTTTAAAATTTCTCAAATAGGTATTTGTATTCTCCGTTGTAGAGGAATCGACCTCTCGGATCATCACCGAACACTCCCAAATCACTCGTGTGAGCAAAACAGAAAAGAATGCGAGACACCGGAGTTTTACGAATTCAGTACGGAGCTCTAACGCTCGGTACCTACCGAAGAATTTAGTATTTTAGAGATGAATTTGATTGAGTAGACAAGAAAATAAGATGTCTATGTCATCGGCTAAGAGAAGAACACGAAAAAGACAAGAGGATTTTGATGAAATAGTTACTTATATTGTTATTCATCGTATCACTTATATATATATATATATATAGAACAATAAAATAGAAAAAGTAAAATAAAAACAAACAAGGAAATAAGCACAACGGTAAAAGACATGACAAAAGAAAATGTCGATGTAACGCGTGCATGAAATCATGAAAAATATATTTGATTTGATTTTGTCCGTTAGCTTCTCATAATCGAATTGGGCTTTTGGCCCAAGTTTTGTCCAAGTAAAGTCCAAGACTTGATGTGTCATCATTTGTGTTCGTGTCCGAATTTGTTCGTCTGCGAGACATTCTGTGATCAAGTCCGAGCAATCCCGATCTTTTTCTCCAACATTCCAATACCTACGTCTCAGGAAGAGAAACAACGTTTGCTAGGGTTACAAAAGAGATCATCGCCGGAAATCGACCGGAAAGTCAATCCGACGCTCGGAGAACACAAGTTCACCGAATGAGAGAGAGAACGACCCAAAACCAAAAATCGCAAGTCTAAACGAAAAATACAAACCCTAGGTCTCATTTACTCGACCTCACAAATGACCATTTTGCCCCTACGCGTTTTGGAACCCTCTGACCGAAACCAAAGCTTCGAAAATTTCGCTCAGAAACTTTGTTGAAGACAACATCCGTCGCCAACTTATTGCGATGACAAAGATCTTAGATTCATTTTCTCTAAAAAAAATTCTAAAATATTTAGGGAAAAAAAAAGATCATAAGTAATTCAAGGGCTAGGCCCATGTATGCAGTGGCTGAATGGGCCTTTATCGAGTTTATCTTTTGAGATTATTTGAGGCCTAATGGGCCATTTTATTGAGCCATTTTATTGGACCTAATGTGTTTATGTATTATCAAAGATGTTAAAGATAATCTTCAATAGGTAGGGAAAACTAAGATGACTCGCTGGCCAGGTTTAAAAAATTTGAGCCCGAAAAAAATTTGTCTAACGAGCCAATTCGCTGCGAGTCGAGTTTATCGTGAGCCAATTTGGCGAGTTCACGAATTGGTTTGTGAGTTAGAAAAAATAGCTTTTTTAATATTTTTAATAGTTAAATTGTGGTTTTTTCTTGATTAGTTGTTTGACTCGTGAACCGATTCGTTCGACTCGTCGTACTGAACCAAATATTTTTTCGGCTCGCTAAAAAATGCATCGGGATAAGTTGGGTTAAAAAATTCTAAGAACGAGATGGGATAGATCGGTCCGGATCCATTTTATACACATCGGTAATAAATTCCTGGATGTCTATGAGAATTCGTTTTTACTAAAAAAAATATTTATTTTTAAAAAAATATTTTCGTTTTTATTTTATTTTTTTGTATATTAACTTAAAATTATATAAATTCATAATATAAATTTTTATTCTTATATCAATTCCATTTTAAGTCGAAGGATTCTACTTGTCCAAAATTGACCGGTTAGGAAGTGTTGAATATTTCACACTACAATTTTTTAATTTTTTTATAAATCGAAAGTTTACCGTGTACCGTTAATTTTTTTTCTAATTCTTTTTAGATAGAACATACCTTTCAGATTCAATAATTAAAAAAAAAATCACGTATAACCTTATTTGGATAAGATAGCGACACGAACAAACAGTTGTACGATTTTATTATCCATAAACTAAAAATCAAATTCATTGAACTCAGAAAAACAGCTGTGTATATGCATATATATATATATATATATATATATATATTATAATTTGAATATTTTTTTAAAAGATTATCTATTTTTTTTGTCTGCCACAAAATGTTAAAGATAATCTTCAATAGGTAGGGAAAACTAAGATGACTCGCTGGCCAGGTTTAAAAAATTTGAGCCCGAAAAAAATTTGTCTAACGAGCCAATTCGCTGCGAGTCGAGTTTATCGTGAGCCAATTTGGCGAGTTCACGAATTGGTTTGTGAGTTAGAAAAAATAGCTTTTTTAATATTTTTAATAGTTAAATTGTGGTTTTTTCTTGATTAGTTGTTTGACTCGTGAACCGATTCGTTCGACTCGTCGTACTGAACCAAATATTTTTTCGGCTCGCTAAAAAATGCATCGGGATAAGTTGGGTTAAAAAATTCTAAGAACGAGATGGGATAGATCGGTCCGGATCCATTTTATACACATCGGTAATAAATTCCTGGATGTCTATGAGAATTCGTTTTTACTAAAAAAAATATTTATTTTTAAAAAAATATTTTCGTTTTTATTTTATTTTTTTGTATATTAACTTAAAATTATATAAATTCATAATATAAATTTTTATTCTTATATCAATTCCATTTTAAGTCGAAGGATTCTACTTGTCCAAAATTGACCGGTTAGGAAGTGTTGAATATTTCACACTACAATTTTTTAATTTTTTTATAAATCGAAAGTTTACCGTGTACCGTTAATTTTTTTTCTAATTCTTTTTAGATAGAACATACCTTTCAGATTCAATAATTAAAAAAAAAATCACGTATAACCTTATTTGGATAAGATAGCGACACGAACAAACAGTTGTACGATTTTATTATCCATAAACTAAAAATCAAATTCATTGAACTCAGAAAAACAGCTGTGTATATGCATATATATATATATATATATATATATATATTATAATTTGAACATTTTTTTAAAAGATTATCTATTTCTTTTGTCTGCCACAAAATATTTTCTTTTGTTGAATATTGTAATCTCCTGATTCAATATAATTAGAGGATTACGTATGATAATTAAATCACAAAATCAGTAATCAAAATCTTATACGAAATTCGTCTTTGGCACCATTTAATAAAAGGATTGGACAAATCCAAAAATAATTAAGAGTTTATAATTAATAACATTGACAGAGACAATTGTTCTGCCGCTCTCTCTTGTCATTACATGTAACCTAAACTGCACAATTGCAGAGCTGTTGAACCGTCTGTTGATTATTTGTCGCACACGTTTTCGCACTTTTATTTATTTATTTATTTATTTATTGTAATCTCTTTGCCCTTTTTCCAATACGTCAGGCCAAAAATGTTCACAAGTATTTCAATTTTTTGAAACTCCGATTCTACGAATTTGTCAGAACAAAACGTTGAAAAATTCGCATAAATATAAAAACAAACAAAAGTTCGAAACTTTTCTCGTGGGTTGTTTTCGGATTTGTTAATCAAGCCTGCCGTCTTGTCCTTTCGGGTTCCCCTTTTCATCGTCTTCGTCAAAAGATTCTCGTGTGAACGCGGATTTTTAGGTTGATTTCCCTGCTCCATCAAAGTTCCTGCGAGTAGACTTTACTTTTTCCACCTTCTTCTTCTTCTTCTTCTCAAGGATTCGAAATCTGTGAGCCTCGTTCATGTTTCTTTCTGCCTTCAGTTTCGATTTTGAGATTTCTTCGTGAGTTGCAGCTGAGTTTTCGAGTTTTTGCTTTCTGGGTATTTTTCATTTTCGTGTTTCTGCAATGGTCAAACCCAAATTCTCTCCATTTCAGTTATGGGGTTTAGCTTTCCTCTTCTCCTTGCGCGTTTCTTCGGCCTCCGATGCTTTCTTCATCAACTGTGGATCGCCGAAGAACATGTCTGTAGACGGTAGAATCTTTGTCTCCGATTCCGACATCCTCAGCACTCCGCGAGGAATCTCGGTCAATGCCACGGGTTCTAATTCTCTCCCTCGAACCAACGATTCGGGCTTGTACGAGACAGCGAGAGTATTTTCGGGACGATCAAGTTACAGTTTCCCGGTCAAGCAACGCGGGCGATTCTTCATTCGCCTTCACTTCTTCCCCTTCAAATCCGGGGAGTACGATCTGAGCGAGGCCAGATTTTCGATTTCAGCCCAGAATTTCACTCTGATCAGAGATTACAATCCCCCGATGAACATGTCTGTTGTTAAGGAATACAGTTTGAACATCACGGCGAATGAGTTGACCCTCGAGTTCAGTCCCAAACCTAATCTCAATGCGTTTATCAACGCTTTGGAAGTGTTTCTCCTTCCAGAGAGCTTGATTCCTGAAGAAGCGACATTCATAGGTTCAGAAGCAAGTAGGCAGAACCTCAGGACTCGTGCCTTGGAGACAGTTGCTAGGGTTAACATGGGGAATTTGACAGTGACTCGAGATCAGGACAAGTCATGGAGGTTTTGGGATTCAGAATCTGCATATTTCGGACATGGCAATGGCGGTAAGACTGTGAGGAACATCACAGCAGTTAAGTTCTCTGGTGACGTAACAGAAGAAATAGCCCCGGCTTCTGTCTATGGAACAGCGACAAAGCTGCACTCTGATGATAACCTAATCCTCATTGCCAATCTCACCTGGAGCTTCAATGTGGATCCTGGTTTCGACCATTTTCTCCGGTTTCACTTCTGTGACATTATAGTGAATGCTTTTGGTCCCAAGAACCAGCTTTACTTCAACGTTTACGTCAATTCACTGTTAGTTGCTTCCCTTGACATGTCACAGGTCGCGAATGGTGAATTTGGAGTTCCTTATTTCATCGATGCAGTGATGAGGAAGGATAATGGGTATGAAGGGTATCTGAATTTAAGTGTTGGAACTGTAGGTTCTGATGATTACACGAATGCTTTTATCAATGGCTTCGAGATCTTGAAGATAAGCAACGAGAAACTCAGCCTCGATGTTTCAGATGCTATTCTTCCCAAGGGTTCTGTCCCTAACAAGAGTTCCAACCCGAGAATTGGCCTTATCGCTGGATTATCCGCCGCCTTGTGTGCTGCTCTGGCATTGTGTTTGGTTGCTTTCTTGTTGTGCAGAGGAAGAAGGAGAAGAAGAAGCAGAATCTTGCAGGTTGTTCATTGGAGAGAAGATGAACAGATCAAGGAGAGTGGAACAACGATCGGGTATCGTTTCCCCTTTGCTGTGATCAAGGAAGCTACTGATAATTTCAGCGAAAGCTTGGTTATCGGGTTTGGTGGGTTCGGAAAAGTTTACAGAGGAATCTTGAGGGACAAAACCGAGGTAGCCGTGAAACGAGGAGCTTCACATTCTCAGCAGGGACTTGCAGAATTCAAGACAGAGATTGAGATGCTGTCTCATTTCAGACACAGGCATCTGGTTTCTCTGATCGGGTACTGCGACGAGAACAACGAGATGATCATTGTTTACGAGTACATGGAGAACGGGACACTCAAGAATCATCTTTACGGGTCGGATAACCCGATGTTGAGCTGGAGAAAGAGGCTGGAGATTTGCGTAGGAGCGGCTAGAGGGCTTCACTATCTCCACACGGGTTCTGCAAAGGCGATCATCCACCGCGATGTAAAATCCGCTAATATACTCTTGGATGAGAATTTCATGTCCAAAGTTGCAGACTTTGGACTGTCTAAGACAGGTCCGGATCTCGATCAGACCCATGTCAGTACTGCGGTGAAAGGAAGCTTTGGGTATCTAGATCCAGAGTACCTAACCAGACAGCAACTCACAGAGAAATCCGACGTCTACTCCTTTGGAGTGGTAATGTTTGAAGTACTCACAGGTAGACCGGTGATTGACCCATCTCTTCCGAAAGAGAGAGTGAATCTCATCGACTGGGTGATGAAATCGCTCAAGAACGGGAACCCGGAAGAGATCGTGGACACGTTTCTTGCGGGACAAGTAAACCGAGAGGCGTTGAACAAGTACTGTGAGATTGCAGAGAAGTGTTTGGCTCCGAATGGGATAGATCGGCCTTCAATGGGGAATGTACTGTGGAATCTTGAGTTCATACTTAAGCTGGAAGCTAAAGGAGACGGAACAAACGATGAGAATCTCGTTGATCAATCAGACATGACAACATCAACCACTCAGTTCAGTTTCTCTGGTGGTGATGGAGATATTGCAGGGGTTTCAATGAGCCGAGTTTTTGCCCAAATGGTGAGGGAAGAAGAGATGAGATGACTTTTGTGATATGTATGTATGTATACATGTATGTATGTATACATGTATGTATGTACGTACGTTACACGTATGTATGTATGTATGGGGTTGGGTTTGTACAGAAGAAAGAGGTGTTATGTTTCCGATTACAATGATGTTGAGTCACACATTACACAACAGAACTTGTTTCGTCTTTTTCAGGCGATGATTTATCGGTTATTGGGCTGAACTTGTCGGCCCACTCGAATGATTAATAATGCAAATGGGCTAAATCAAGCATGTTCATGGCCCACATCAACTTCAATATCCAGAATTTGAAGATGTTTATTCCAAAATTCAATAGTTTGAATTTTAGAATTCGGTATCCGATTTTGACTCTTGAGTTGGTTGAATTCGAATGTTTTTTGGATATTTCAAATATTCGGATATTAGTGAGGGGAAAGACAATCACCAGAAACCTTATGTAAATTAATATATAGGATAACTTTGTAAATATTGATAATTTAAAAGACAATTAATATATAGGATAACTTTGTAAATATTGATAATTTAAAAGACAATTAATATATAGGATAACTTTGTAAATATTGATAATTTTCGGATATTCTAGGGTTATCTTTTGAACTCATAGCCAACTCTAAGACATAACGTCCGGATAATATATCTCGGGTTTTGGTTTGGTTATTTCGATTATAAAAACTATAATCATTTGATTTTTGTATAATTAAGTTTTGGTTCGAATACAGTTCAGTTTATATATGATTTTATATTCGTAAAAAATTCATTTTTTCAACGAAATTTATGATTTTTTTCGGTTCGAAATCGATTATATTTATATCTTATTCGGTTTGGTTATTTAGTAACCAAAATGGCTTACTCTAAGTCCACGCACCAACCTCCGGATTCCTTTCTTTCTTCCATCCCTTGTTATTGACTAACCATAATAACGAATTTTATCAGTGGAGGTTTGTATGTCGAATCAGACCGTTTCTTGAATACGAGCTACAAAGGAGGAAGTTATATATATATATATATATATATACATATATATATATATAAAAGATATATATGCGATCACACATGGCTGATTTTGATGATATAATAAAGCTTTTAGAACATGTTCATTTGCTTATAAAACTCATTTTGTAACTACCAAAAAGGTAGTTATTTAATTTATATATGAAGTTCTAATTTTAATTTCTAAATGCCGTTCTTCGCATGAATTTGACCCTATATGAAGTTTTAATTTCTAAAATTATTTAATTTATATTTTAAATATTTTTTAAATATCCCGCATCAAATAGATATTATATTTTTTTCCGTTTTTTTCCACCATTTCTGTGTGTTTTTTTCAATTTCAGTTGTAGTAAATTTCTTTTATTATATATATGTTCTTATTTGTTTGATGATTTCCCCTAGATTTGCATTCAATGAGCATTTTTATTCTTTTTGTTTCTCCAATTGGTTTCTCTCTGTTTTACTTTGTTTTTTTTATTACCATTTTTTATTTTTCTCTCAGTTACATAAATATATGAATTCTTCTTTTTTATGATTTTCCGTTTCTTTATAGTAATTTATAAAGTAATTTATTTTTTAATATTTAAACTTTTTGAAATCAGAATACATGTGTATACAATGACATAAGCGATACGTATGTTGGTTATGATACTCAAAAAGTATTTTAACTAAAGGATAAATCAAATAATGTGTTTTTATTGGACATATCTTTGTACATAAATCACGTAATCACGTATCCTGCTCATATAGCAAGTTTACATATTGCAGTAGTTTTCCTTTTATGTAAACTAGGTCACAGTCGATTGTATCAGTTGTATATATGCCGCTCAATGCAGAGAAATAAGACAAGCTTTTCTTGCGTACAAATCTGTGCCGTGACATGGTATTAGAGCACGAATCCTAAAATTCTCGATTCCCAATTTCGATTCCATGACTTCAGACACCGAATCTCCGACAGCAACTCCGACACCGACCCCGACACCGATTGCTCCTTCGAACTCGACTCCGACAATGCATCGCGCAACGATGGCACCCGAAAACGTGATTGTTCAACGTCGAACAATTTCGCCGTATGATCTTACTCCTAGCGACAACCCCGGCCTTGTTCTCTCCCAACCATTGCTTCGCGGAGACAACTACGATGAGTGGTCTATCAACATCCGTCAAGCTCTTAAATCACGTAAGAAGTTTGGTTTTGTTGATGGATCCATTCCGAAACCGACTTTGGACTCAGTGGATTATGAGGATTGGGACACCAACAACGCTCTTCTCGTTTCCTGGATCAAGAACACGCTCGAACCGCATCTCCGCTCGGATGTTGTTCATAGGGAATATGCAGAGGATCTGTGGAATTATCTAAAACGCCGTTTTGGACAGACGAATGCACCAAGACTTCTGAAGATTCGAATTGATCTTGCAAACTGCCGCCAACAAGGAACAACGGTGGAAGCTTATTTTGGAAGACTTACAAAACTGTGGGATGATCTCGCTAATTTCCGCATGTTGAAGACTTGCAATTGTGGAAAGTGTACGTGTGGTGTATCGGACATACTAGAAAGAGAGCGAAATGAGGATCGCCTCTACGAATTTCTGCTCGGACTTGATGAAGCATCTTTCGGCACGGTGCGCTCGAATCTGCTCTCTCGTCAGCCCTTGCCTAGTCTTGAAGAAGCCTACAATCTAGTCGCTCAAGAAGAAGACTCGAAACATGTCATTTCCAAGCCTGAAGACCGTCATGAGGTGGCAGTCTTCTCGGTGGCTACAGCTCCGAAACCTCGGACTCACTTGGAAGACAAAGACAAAACTGTCTTATGTTCGCACTGTAATCGAATGGGTCACGCCGCCTCCAGCTGTTTCCAACGCATTGGTTATCCCGAATGGTGGGGTGACAGACCACGACATCGGCCCGGTGCTGGCCACGGGCGAGGAACCCATATTCCGCCTACTGTTTCAGGTCGGGGTCGAGCCAGTGCTTCTGTTCGGGCGAATGCGACATACACAGCGAACCATGTCTCTGTTTCTCCTGGGATTTCCGATGCCGACAAGAGTGTCTTGGGCGATCTTAGTCCAGATCAGTGGCAAACACTGCTCGCGATGATAAATGGAACTCAACTTGCATCTGTCGAGACATTATCTGGTAAGAGTTCTGTTGCTTCTTGGCTTCTTGATTTAGGTTGTTCCCAACACATGACTGGGGATATCTCACTTCTCGATGACTTATCTCCGATGTCACCGTGTTCGGTTGTCTTGCCGGATGGCCGCCAGGTTTTCTCAGTTCAGACAGGCAGTGTTGTGTTGACCTCGACAGTCCGTTTGACCAATGTTTTCTTCGTTCCGGGATTGCACTGCAACCTGATATCCGTATCTCAATTGTTGGCTGACTGTGGTTGCTTTATCACGTTTGCTCACGGGTTTTGTGTTATCCAGGACCGCACTTCCAAGACACTGATTGGAGCGGGTGAACAGAGAGGGGGATTGTATTATTTCCGCAGTTCAGAAACTATCGCAGCAACTCGGATCAGTGATACTAAGTCTCTGGATTTGTGGCACAAACGTCTTGGACATCCGTCGCCAAAAATACTTACGCAGATTTCTGGATTTCGTTTTTCTAGCAGTAGTTGTTCTGAGATTGAGTCTTGTGATGTTTGCTTCCGCGCAAAACAATCTCGGGCTGCATTTCCTTTGAGTACGAATAAAACTACACACCTCTTTGAGTTAATTCATTGCGATTTGTGGGGTCCATACCGAAAACCGTCATTCTCGGGTGCAAAGTATTTTTTGACTATTGTGGATGATTTTTCGCGTGGCACGTGGATTTATTTGCTCTCTGGTAAACACGAGACCCAGTTTCACCTTCGAGCTTTTATTACTATGGTTGAACGACAATTCGGTACATCTGTCAAAACGGTTCGCTCTGACAATGGTTCCGAATTCCTTAGCTTACGCACATTCTTCTCCGAAAAGGGAATTCTGCACGAAACTTCTTGTGTTGGTACACCGCAGCAGAATGGTCGGGTTGAGCGAAAACACCGACATATCCTCAATGTCGCACGCGCATTGTTATTTCAAGCACATCTTCCTTTGGATTTTTGGGGAGAAAGTATACTTACGGCTGCTTATTTAATCAACCGTACTCCGTCCGCTGTCCTTGGAGGTAAAACACCATATGAGATTATTCATGGTCGCTCTCCGAACTATGCCCATCTTCGAGTTTTTGGGAGCATGTGTTATGTTCACAACCAGAATCGAAGTGGAGACAAGTTTGCTCCCCGTAGTTTTCGCTCGATCTTCGTCGGATATCCCTCCGGACAAAAAGGTTGGCGAATTTATAATCTTAATACAAAACAGTTCCATGTTTCCCGCGATGTCGTATTTGTGGAGACTGTATTTCCTTTTTGCGAAAATACAGTCCAGCCATCTTCCTCTGTTGTGCTATCTCCACCTGTGTTTCATGAAGACGATGACGTGTTCTTCGAATCTGGCCAATCTACGCCATCCTCGGCTGTTGTTCCTGAGATTTCCCCCAGTGCTCCTTCGACTCCAGCTTCCTCTTCCCCTGTTTCTGGAGTCAGGGGGGCTCTGCTGTTGCTGACCCTGCCGACCCCGTGTCTCCTTCCTCGTCTGCCTCTCCTGCAGTCATTTCATCGCCCTCTGCTTCTTCTCCTCTGCCGTCGTCGCAAAACCAGACTCGACCTGCTGAATTGGGGAGAGGTCAAAGACAAAAATTCCAGAATGTCAAGTTCAAAGATTTCCTCACCAATGCTGTAAGCACTACGCACATTGCTTCGTCTTCCCCTGTTTCCGTGTCAACCTGCAGCACAGCTTTCCCGATCGAAACATATGTCTCTTATGACAATGTTTCGCCAGCTCATCTGCATTTTCTTGCAGCGGTGACTGCTGACCGTGAACCACGAAGCTACAAGGAGGCTGTCCAGGATTCACGATGGCGACAAGCAATGCAAGATGAGATTGGCGCACTCGAAACGAATCAGACTTGGACACTGGCTTCATTACCTCCTGACAAGAAAGCTATCGGATGTAAATGGATATTCCGCATCAAATATCGCTCGGACGGTACTGTTGAACGGTATAAGGCTCGACTTGTTATTCTCGGAAACAATCAAACGGAAGGAATTGATTACGATGACACGTTTGCTCCGGTAGC